GTATGAGAGGGAGGGAGGGAGGAAGAGAGAGAGATTGCTGTGTTTTTATCCAATGGCTAATTCTCAAACATTTTCCTGGGTTTCAACAAAATCAAATTCTAAACTATCTATTCATAATATTTTAGATCTAATTCTTCTAGGACTCAAGAAATTTATGTAGAAGTTTTCTTAGACATTAAATTCAAGCTTTATTTTTCCAAAAGTTTATAAAGAAAAAGAGAGAAAAGAAAACAATATAAAGGTATGTTAATGGTAGAATCTATGTTTTGTCTTTATTAGGGATTTTAGAGTTTCACAAATAATAGGCGAATAATTTTTAAAAGAATGTAAATATAAGAAGGAAAGAAAAATCAGGTTTCATTTCTCCTTAAGTATTGAAATATATTTCAAACTTTTCCGATAAATACTAAAAGAGCAGTGAGATTCAGAAAATACCACGACTTTCTTTAATTTTATTTCTTTTTTTAGAGTGGAGGTAACTTTTTGTACAAAGTTGTCATATTTAGTGCCATACATATTTGCCTAAGAAATAAAGTGATTCATATGTGAACTGTTTATTTATCCTCAAGTTATTTCTTTAAATTGTGTGATTTATGTGTGTGCCTGTGTGTACAATGAAGTAATTAAAATATTTTGCTGAGAAACAGAGATATACAGATCAAATAGAATGGTCTTGACTATCCTAACTTTGGCAATTAAGGAGAGTTGTATCTTTGAAGAATTCACATTTCCATTGCCTGTGAGTCAAAGCTGCATGAAATACAAGGATCAGACTCATGGCAACTGTGAATCTAGGATCATTTGAAATCTTGCTCAATTTTCTAGTAAGTGAAGGGCCACCAACAGAGAAAGTGTTTGGCATGGACTTTGGAAAATCTGGAGCTAAAAGAAGAAAGAGAAAGCCGAAGTTGCTTGCCCTATAAATACCGATGCAGTTAGAGGGGAGAAGAAGGGGTTTTCCAAGGAGCTAACAATACAGCCCAAGGAGTAATTATTCTGCTTTAAAATACCTACCAATCCTTAGGAATTATAGGGCATCTTTTATTTGTACTAGTCAAAAATGGTGACTTTTTTAGGCTTTTTTGCCCCTCTTCTACTCTCTTCCATTCTGCCAGAGTGGAAATCTTTTTTCACAAGTGTTGGTGGGTGGGGTGAGGTGGGTACTGAGTTCTGCAGAAAAGTGAAAGAATACTACATTACCTTCTGTCTACTGCAAACAGCCAGTTCATAGCAGGCCGTAGCTCTAGAGGGAAAAAGATGGAACTCAGCAGTTCAAAATTTTTATTTTTTATGATCATGGACATTCTATTTACCAAATTTAAACTAGAGTAATTATACTTGACTGTATAATTTATTATTACTTGTGAATAGCTAAGAAATATCATGAGACTTTGAGAATAGGATAAAAACATTCACTCCCCATCTGTGCCTATTAGCAATGTTAAAGGAACGGTAAGGGACAGCAATTAATTTGCTTTTGTGATTTCACAGCATGCTGCTATAAACACACACAAACTCAGAAATGGAATTTGCTTGCCCTTTCATATTAGCCTGAATTCTGTTTCACTTTCTACATCTCCCTAGGACAGTGGTGGCAAACCAATGGCACATGTGGCACAGCAGGCAAGCAAAGCCCTCTCTCTAGCAAGTGAGCCAAGTCGCCTCAGCATCTCAGAAGCAGAGCATCTGCTCTGTTCAGCAGCAGAGCATCTGCCAACAGCACATATGGGGCACTTTGTGATAAATAAGTGGGTTTGGGTTATAGTTTGAGTACTCAGTTTCTTTAAGGTTTGTTATCACTGCCCTAGGAAAATCAGTTCTTTTTTTTAACCAGTTGTCCCATTACTCACATTTTATACTTTCATTGGTACATCTGATGAAATTGAAATCTTTAGCTCTTCACATTATCAATATGTAAGTACAAAAACACATATAACTAGCAGTGATCTTACCATTCAAAAATCTACAGGTGCCTTTATAAAACATTTTGACATAACAATGCCAGAGGAGGGAGAATATAGTATTTATTTGGATGAATCAAAGCATAAACACATAGAGACCATGTTTGGAATGGAAAACTGCAAGATTTAGCTATTCTGATTTCTGCTGTACATGGCTGCACATTATGATGTCATTAACTCTTTAAGGAAGATACCTAGAAGGAGAATAGTTAGGCCAAATGCAATTTCTGGTTTTTTTTTATTGAGGAATCTCCGTAGTGATTTTGATAGTGATTGTACTAGCTTACATTCCCATCAGCGTAGAAGGAAATTACAATATTTACACACAAGGGAGTACTACTTGGACATAAAGAAGGATAAATCTGAGTCATTTGTAAGAAAATGGAAACACTTTGAGACCATAATGTTAAGTGAGATAAATCAGACACGCAAGCTTAAATATTACATAAGTATATTTATTAAATATAAATAATATAAAAAGCAAAAGAAAAGAGCCAAGAAATAGGGAGATAGATCTTTGGTAAATGGGAAGGGGATCTTGAGGTGGATGTGGAGAAGGAAGTAAATAGAAGGGGAATAAAAAAATTAAGATAGGTTATGTACATGTAGCTACTCCCACAATTTTAATCTATATATGCTACTAAGATGTACTAATGAAAAATTTAAAAATAAAAACATCAAAAAAGGGAAGACTGCAGGTCATCTATATCTTTAAAATGTGTGTTTTGGGGCCTTACCCCTCGCCTTATAAGCAAGTGTTGGTAAGCTTGTCAAGATTTCCTCATGATCCTTATACAGTTTTAGAACTATTCAAGTATTTGATTACTTATCAAGAAAACTAAGTTGATCATTTTGTGTCTGTAAATGCATGGATATAGTGGCTGCCACAACTGGACAGCTTTCTGGTTTCACTACTTTGTTCAAAAAAGTGACTTCTTAATGTGAGTATATGCACTGTCTCATCAACAGAAAAATACTGGATAGCTGAAAAATGTCATCTGAACTTAACATTTATAAGGATGTGATTAAAATTATGAACTACATTAAACTACATTAAAATTATGAACTACAGCTGTTCACGTAGCTCTGTGGGAAGATGGACACAGAGCACACACAATTTCTCTTATACACAGAAGTGAGATGACTTTGTAATGGTAGATCACTGACCAGGATTTTTGAATAATGATAGCTGCTACAGAGAGTTCTTTGAGAAAAACAGTAACCACTGGCAGCATATTTCAGTGACGCAGAATGGTTGTCACAACTTCCTCACTCATGCGGCACATTCAATTTGCTCAACAAACTCAATCTGTTACTGCAGAAGAGAAGCATCCTGTGTTCAAGTTCTCAGATAAAATAGATGCATTCAAAGCTTATGTGGAATTATTGGGGTTAGAAGTCAATATTGAGTTTTTTGAAATGTTTCGAACACAGTAGATATTTGGAAAGAAACTAAGCCTGAGCTTTCTTTCTCTCAACTGGTGCATGATCAACTACCTCAGTTTTTAAAAGAGTTTGAACATTATTTAACAACCACAAAATACCCCAGAACTGAGAAAAACAGATATGACTCATTTGTGAATAAGCTGGGTGAATTGACTATGTTCAAGGTAGAAGAGGATCAACTGCTTGAGCTACTGAATGATGGTGACCTTAAAAATTTGTTTGAGACAACTTCAAACTCCCATAATTTCTGTATTAAAGTCAAGGCAGAGTATCCTGAGATTTTCGTAGAAGCCCTGAAAAGCCTGCTTCCATTTCCACCACCCTATTTTTGTGAAGTGTGGTTTTCTTCAGTGACAGAAACCAAAACAGAATTACTAAATAG